ACAACATGAGCACTGTCCAGTCCATTGTACACAATTTTTAATTTTTGTATTGACATACATTGTAGGTATGGATGAAGATGAAGAGGAAGTAGTACCGTTGCCTAATGTAAACTCTGCTATTCTGAAGAAAGTTATCCAATGGGCTACGTACCACAAGGATGATCCTCCTATACCAGACGATGATGAGAACAAGGAGAAGCGTACAGATGATATCAGCAGCTGGGATGCAGATTTTCTGAAGGTTGACCAAGGAACACTGTTTGAACTCATATTGGTATGTTTTTTATATGAACATGATTCTGACCCTGTGATGGGGAGATGGAATGTACTAGTAGTGCCATCTGGATTACATTATAGAAATATTTACATCTTGTGCAAAATGCAGGTCAGTACTTTGGGTTGTGTGACTTGTAAGTCACTCTGTAGTTTTTTGCCTTATTGAATTATAGGCTGTTACAATCTAGTACCAAAAAATTTGCCTGGAGAGACTGAGGAAAACCACAAACATTCTTACTCAGGGTGGCTAGCAGCTCAGCTGAGATTTAAGTAGCCTCTGTCTTAAAAAAAAGGTGTCGAGTGTTATTTTTTCATTGTTGTAAATGTATTGGCTGTTCACAGGCTGCCAATTATCTGGATATCAAGGGTCTGTTGGATGTGACATGCAAAACTGTAGCAAACATGATCAAGGGAAAGACTCCAGAGGAGATACGAAAGACTTTCAACATCAAGAATGATTTCACTGCTAGCGAAGAAGAGCAGGTTCGCAAAGAGAATGAGTGGTGTGAGGAGAAGTGAACTGTTTCCCCTTTTAATGGAAACTACTACCTTCATGGTTTCAAATTCCATTTATAATCCAGTTTGGGTATTTGAAAAGAGTTCTTGAATTTTTTTATTTCCTAATGAAAGCTTGTGTGTTGGCTCAATCCAGACAGTTGCTGATAATAATGCAAAGCATTGCCCTTATTTACCCACATTTAGATTTTAAGATTATTACAAGCACTAAAATGTAAATACATCTGTTAGATTACATATTTTGCACTATCTATATGGTGACTTATTATATCTGCAACATTCTTTTTGTAAGATTTGAGGTTTTCGCAGCAGTGATTATGAAGATTTCTGTCTTCTGGGTTGTTGTGCTGTGTAGTCTGTTTGATGTTTACCGACATTTTAGAGGTTCATCACCCTGATGATGGAGGCAGTGTGACCTCTGAAACGTTGGTTAACATTGACCAGACTACGCAGCGCAACAACCTAGAAGACAGAAATCTTCAACATTCTTTTTTTTTTATAATTAGGAAGATAAATTGATGTGTTTGTATATATTAAAACATAATGTCCAGTCTCAATTCCTCATTCATGTAGATATAGATACTGCTGACAATATAAGGGTGATATGTTTGGTTAAGATAAAAAATTTGGAACTTATTTAATTGTGAATAAATTGCTACACTTTAACAAAATTTCAGTGTTCAATAAATTTTAATACCAGTTAATAATGTTTTATTTAAAACTGACTTAACTGCTCCTTGTACCTTCATTAGTATTTTCTCTTGTACCAAGTTACATGAAACCTGATACTGAAGTGGTGTCATTCAAGGTAACGTCTTGAGATCGGTTGTGACTGCTTTCTCCCAGGTCCTCCCTATTCACCATACACGATTGTCCCATGCGATTAATGACCAAAGGATAATTCAGTGTTCGTTTCTTGCAGTGTTTCAGTTGAGAGGTAAGTGTGGAGGTCTTACAGAAGATTATTTTTTTTAAAGAAATATATGTTCATAAGATTTTAATTATAGACAGTTTCATTATATAGACGTCCCGCACTGTAGCCGCGCAGTCTGAGGCATCATGCTTCGGACCGGCGATACAGAATGCGCGCTGGTTCGAGTCTGGGTGGGGAGAAGAAATTTTCTCATGAGCTTTCGACGTGTGTGCGGGACCGGTGCCAACCCAGCATCGTGAGGAAATTGGGGGAGCTACAATGAGTAGCGTAATCCGGTCAGGAAAGCTAGCAATGGCTGGGGGTTTGTCATGCTGACCACGCATCACCTATATCTGGTTGGATGATCGTTCACCTCTGCTTAGGCATGTGAACGTGAGGCCAGCAGTCAAGCTAGTCTGCTTTGGCTCTCTGGAGCTGTTACGCCACGGATTTTAATTCATTATATAGATACTTTGAAGATGGCCATCTTCTGGTTTGTTGTGCCATACAGTCTAGTAGAAGTTTAACAACATTTCTGAGGTCCTTCTTGCCTTCATTATCATGGTGATGAGTCATTACCCCGATGATGGAGGCACAGCAACCCAGAAGATGGCCATCTTCAGACTTACCGCCATGAAAACGTCAGATCCTACGTACAGGTACTTCACTAGTTAAGTGATGGGATTATAGTAATGTTCATGTAACCATGTTTATACAAGTATTTGGCTCTAAGAGTATCTGTGAAGCAAAACTTTTGTTTGCACCTTGTTTAAACTTTGTGTGCGTTGTGTATGCAGAGTCTAACTGGCTGTTCGTTGCAGTAGCATATCACAATACTATTAAGCCCATAGTTAATTCCGGCCTGCAGCCCTGTAGTACAGGTATTAAAATTATGATAACAGTTAAGTGGAGACAAGCATCATGGAAAACATAACAGGTAATGTAAAAAACAGCATGGCATGTTTAGGGTGAAAGGAGGAAAAGGTATGAAAGGGATAAAAAAAAAAAGGAAAAGAGAGATGACAGACCAGACAAGTGAAAGGATATGGGAGAAAGGTACAAGTATGAAAAAAAAATTGCTGTTGAATTTCACCGGGATTTTTACACTAGCCAGGAAATAAACATGAAGAGGTAAATGTATTAAGAATCAGCAATGGATAAAGTGAGTGTCCATAATATTACATTATGAGCTAGGAGCATTTCAAACAGAAGTCTGTAAGTTTTTTAATGTCCATACTGTACAGAGTATTAGAATCCAATATATGAGGTCTGTGGAAAATCTGGGTCTAAAAGTCAGGTTGTACAGAAATGGAGTTGTTAAATCTCCCCAACAGCTGTACCACAATGCTATGTATTATTACATTCTTATTAAGCAGGTGTTCTGTTAAAAAGTGAAATGTCTTTTATATTCCTCCGTTTTTAGTGGTCTGGAAGTGTGCTATAAACCAGACCAGAGCATTTGCCAGTGTAGATTAGGTTGAGGGAAACCACAAAGAATATATTTGAGTTGATGTAACCATTATCTGGTTGAGATTCAAACCATTTTCCTCATATATTATATCTGTGTTCATTTATTTGGCCCATTGTCATTCTCCACCTTCCTTTTGTATCCCTTTCATACACTTGTATACTGGCAAGGCCCATAACTTGCAGTGAGTACCCAGGTCACAGATAATTGCCTGCATTGTCTTGCTGTATGCTTCAATGTTGTTACCATAAGCACAGTGATCTTATTCAAAATCCTGTATGCACCATAATAATCGGTCTCTAATAAGATGCTGACAGTTTACAGAGTTTTTATTTTGAGAAGTACAAGTACAGGCATCAGGGATAGCTAATCTAAGAAATATAACAAAAAATATATCTTATCTATAGCTATGTTATACTGTAACTCACATTACACAGAACTGCATGAGCAATAGAGCATTGCCTGCAAGGATATATATCATATACAGGCAATTTAGCCACAGTGACAGTAGAATGCATATTCGATGTTATTAAAGATGTCTCTATTAGTAACCAACAAAAGCACTTCTTTCTATTTATTTCAACAGAATGGATAGGATTAAACATACATAGTAGATTTGTGGGAAAGGAAAATACACTAGTAGTCATATGTGACATCAGTGTCCCTGGATCGTTTCCTGTTGCTGAGGTACCAATCATAAAATGTATCTGTCTTCAAACCCTGTGGACAGAGGAAAATAGCATATTTCAATATTTATTTCACTGTTATCGATAGTAATGATTTTCATATTATTTAGTACTCTCCTAATTTATTTAAACTTTAGCATTTTGATGAAGCCATGGTTTTATCAGTTTTAAAAAATCCTTAATATTTCTTCCATTTAATCCTACATATCTTCATATGCAAAAAGACATTTAGGGCATTTGAAAGAAAATTATGAGAAGAATATTTGGACCCATGAGGGGTGAAGAAAGTTATTTAATGATTCTGTGTCAACCGCTGAAGTTGCATTGCGTCGAATGTGACTGGAAGATGATCATGAATCATTAATAATGAGAATGAGAAGAAATTTTGGAGGCAGTCATGACCTGGTATTCATCTGGAAGGGCAGGAAAATTACTGAATTTCTCATTCAGGAGAGTTAATAGCTGATGTCAACTAGGTTTCAAACTAGGTGCCTTTGAAATACAAGTATAAAGCATTAATCTTTATATAAGGTTACTTGGTGTTAGAGTGAGAATAGAGAATATTACATAAAGAAGACCTTCACTACTTGTATTCTTCTTATTGTGTAGTTAGGGTGATTAAATGAAATATGCTGAGGTGGATGAGGCACATAGCACATTCTGAAATGTGAAGTGCATACAAAATATGTTTTTATTTTGAGGTTAACAATGTGATGCTCACCTGTTGGTCACCTGCAGCACTCCATGCCTGACCAGAATGCCCTCTTGTAGCAAATCCTTGAACTTGGCCTCTGCTATCACTCTGCTGTGGTACTGCAATAGGTTGGGGTGTTGCATACAGGCCCAAGACTTCTTCCAAACCATCCACTTTCCTACATACAAAGCATAAAAACATTGAGCTTTGTAATTTCAAATGTAAGAACAAGAAACATAACCTCAAAATCTTACAAACATAACCTATATTGCCATAAAACAGTAGGGTCTGAAGAACATTTTATCTACTCAGTCAGTGAGTATGTGCATTTTAGAAACAAAGAAACCTGTACTCAGAATTAAGAAATGGGAAATAAATAATTTCTAAGATTTTTTACCAAATAAAACTTAGATTAATATACTCATATATGAAGGTTTATACTTCTCAGATTTGGCACAACAGTCACAGTATTAACAGTGAACTTGTTCGGTGTTGGCTGTTATTGGCCATATTTCAGTAAAGGATGAAAGAGGAAAAAGCAATATTTTGGGGGTGAAAATTTATGGCATCTAATCTTCCTTTTATCAGGATTGTGCAAAGTGTGATTTGCATGTTATCATCAGAATCAATTTTCTGATTAAATGTATAGAGTAATTGACGATTTTGATGTATGTGAGGTAAAATACAACAGAGATTGTAATGGTACAAGAGGGTTTAACTACTCACATGCTTTTCTAAATGACAAGTAGTTGTTTGGATTGAATGCATGTTTTAAATTTATTTCTGAAAAGTTTTTCTTATCAGTACAGAGGAAAGAAACCATGTCAGTATGAAGTTCATAACATATTCTCACTGTCAGTAATAACTCAGTACTGCCAATCTCTTAATGGTTAAATAAAAAGCCCTTCAGTTTATCTGTAAAATATTTATTAAAACATTTGAAAGCTGAATTCCAAGGTCTGTATTAACGCAGCTGTCACCACATTTCACAAGTTACATGACCCCATGCCATTATTAATTATGGCATCCATCCCTGAGTATAAAGTATAAATTTCAGTGAATGGTACTGAATGTCTCAGTACCTGTCTGTGTCAAGAAGGTAGCCTGGTCGATTTGCTTGCAGGAATCCCCTCTTTGCGGCCACTCCTCTGCACTTGGGCGCGTAGACAAAACGTCTGCAAAAAAGAAAGTTCTATTTTCATAATTTTCATCTTACAATACGCATCATTATGAAAGTAACTGTACAGAGACGTAACACGATGTGTCAGGTTTCCCGAGTTTCTCTCATGTAAACACGAGACCCTCCTGTAAGACTGCAGTCTACACATTTACAATTCTGTAAATATAAATAATTTATTTTATTTTTGTTAGCTCTTAATTAATTCAGTAGAATGGAGTTTGTTGAGAAGCTACTAATTGCTCAGTGTTTCCCAAATGTTCACAAGTGCACACCACTGAACTGTAACCCGTGCCAGATAAATCCAATCCACATTCTCAACCGAATTTCTTTAAAATCCTTTCAATTATTATCCTCCCATCTACCCATAGGTCTCTCAAATTGTCTCTTCCCTTCATCATAACAGACTACATGCTCGAAAAATTTACGAAATCAAGAAAATCGCTCAAAAATTGTTGAATACGAAATACTTGTTGAAACAAAGTGTTGAACTGTCAATGTGTTTTTTTGGAAGAGTTCAAATATTGTTACGGAGTGTGCTATAACAACTTAGGTTTCCTTAATGTGGAGCCACGGGGTCTGCAAGTCAAAGGAGTAGTAGAAGGTCGTCAAGGATTATCTAAAATCTCAGGAACTATATGCCTGAGAATTGATTAAATCTTACGTAGTCCAAAGAACACTTACTCCAAGAAATTATTGAACTTTCAGTAACAGTTCAAGGACTCGTTGCTTTGAAAACAAGTGACATTAATTACAGCTTAACGAAAACAGAAACTTTCAAGTTGAAAGCAGTTTCAGGCAGTTCAGAATAATCTCTTTTTCCTAAAATTTTAATTTCAATAAAATCGTTTCATATAAATGCTTGCAGGTCCCCATGGTAGCTCGGTGTGAGGCTTCTGCAACACTGGAATAACGGGTTCGAATCCCATTCCGGGAGTTCAAGTTGTTCTGCGATTGCCTGATTCTTCAGCCAAGTGTTCTCCTGTCGTACTTATTTGTTTAGCAACAGAAACCTTCTTCACCGGAAATCGAATCCAGGGTAGCTTTAGGGGCTGTGACTTTCTTTTTCATAATTCTTTTCTTGGAAACAAACAACTTTGGTCTTGGCGACGTCCTTGTAACGTGCTTAGTTTCCGAGCTACAAAAACCATCTTCACCGGGAATCGAACTCAGGACACGTTTTTCCGGAGTTTTGACACTCCTATGTTCTCTTTATAGACTCGAGAAATAAGCATGCCAAGTCTGGTGCAAATCGGTATCTCGAGCTATAAAAGAACAAACGTAACCAACATGTTACTGCATACCCACAAATTCAGCTTAAAAGATGTATAAGAACTTAATTTTGAAAAACGTTTTATAAGAACACAGTAAATTAAGTTCGTTATTATCAGTAACGATTTTGAGAATAAAGAAGTACATTTTATGTTTATAACGTCGTGTTTCAATAACCGCCAAATCGAAACACATTTAGACTACATTTCCAGAATTTGATTATAGAAGGTTTTATGTTGCAGGCTGTGTTTGGGCACGTTGAACCGGTTTGGAAACTTTTATGACATTGTAATTTAAAGGAAATAAGCGGATCCTGTTGACTCTTCCTCTGTGTTGTGTTTGAAGGAAGGAAAGTTTAAAAAGTTCCTTTCTCTACGCTTTCAGACTGCTTAGAATTTGTATATTAAATGTTTGATCGTTACGAACAATTTCACCGCGATTGCGTATTCTATTTTACTAAATATCAGTCCACTTTGTTGACATCTACCGCGTGTGCACCAGAATGACTCATACCTTAATGAAAGACAGGGAAATTTTTATTGGCAGTGAATAATTCCACCAAACCTGTTTACTTTTTCTTTTGTTTCTACCTCAGTGTACTAAATGCATCGCAATGTTACTGTGATTATGCGTAGTTCAATAGAGTGTTTACTAGAAAGAGGTCTCGTGTGGGAATAGTGGACTGTGCGCTTCATATTTTGTGCTCGAAAAAATTGGTTGTTTTTACGAAAATCCGCGTTAAATATCGCTGTACGTAATAGTTGCGTTATCCAGCCTATATTTATAGAGGTATTTGTTACAAATTGGAACTTGTTGCAGTTCACTGTATGTATAGAGCCTATCAATGTTGGAACAACGTTTTAGGGATAAATTCGTGCAAGAATTATTCCTAGGTCTTTGTCAGTGTTTACCGAGGTTATGTGGTTTCTACATTAAATGTGATACATACACGGACAGGGACATTGATTTCGTATGCATGGTTTTCAACAGGTGAGTTAAATATCCGTTTTAAAATGTCTGTACATTGTATATTTTAAAATGGCCATGCTTGTTGTATTTAGTAACCTGTTCTGTTGATTGAAAACCCGCAATTTGTTTGCCGGAGATATTTAGGGATGTGAAATAAATTCAGATCAAAAGCGACGAAGTTCAGAGGGCTCTAAATCTTCCATTCGTAGAATTCAATGCGTTAAGGTGCCAAGTAGAGACTTATACCGCTCAGTTATATATATTATTATTTTAAAACTCGGAAGCTAAGCTTTAGTGTTCAAAAACAAAGGTATAAGTTTTTAAAAGGCAAATAATTTAGGAAACTCGTAGAAGAAATGTCAAGTTTCAGAATTCGGATATTTTGAAATGCCCGTGGACATCAGATGATAACGGAAGAAACAAACTAAACTTTCCTTAAATTTGTATAGCACGTGATTACGCTTGGATCCTGTTCGAGTTTTCTTGCCCAATTTATTTTCGTGTTTATTTGCTGCTGACACAAATATATCACTTGCTACATAGTTTATCACATTAAAGGTAGCACTCCATTAAACATATACAACGTTAAATAATGTTTGAAATATAACATACGTTGATATATATTTTACAATGCTCCGTGTTTCAGAAATAGGAGTTATATTCGATTTTTGTTTGAAGTTGGGGCTAAAATATACACTAAAATTTTAAGTGTATACCCCAAGTAACTAACTCCGTGGAGTATTGTCCTTTAGAAATTAACAGAACGTCGATCAACTGGTAAATAAATTGCCCGCCTTTCATGAAACCTGAAGGGTCATCAGACCTACAGTGCTTACACATCGGATGGCTGATGGACCCTGTTCCGAAGTAGTGAATTCTGTCCACATCCTAAAGATCCGTTTAAATGTTACGGTCTTGTCTATGTCTGATTCTTCCAAGTGGTCTCTTCCCTTTGGATTTTCCCTTTATAATGTCGTGTACATTTCTGATCTCGCCCGTGTGGTCTATATTTACTTCCGATTTTCCCATCATTGATATCACTGCGCTAATAATGTTAAGCGAAGAACACAGATTATGAATTTTCTTACTGTGTAATGTTGTCCATACTCCCATTACTTCTACTGTCTTAAGCCAAAATAATTTTGTATGTCAGACTTCCTACCCCAGATGGAACTGAAATTCGATGAGTAATTTCTGATATTAGCCCTTTAAAGCCCAATTGTAACTCGTGTACCACTTTCTCTTGCTTCAATAATAATTCATTCTAAATGTTATATTCATGGGTTTCGCATGATTCTTGCCGTAAATAAGGATTATTTCTTTAAGTAGCATTAACAAGCTAATCTTTGTAATGGTGAAGTGTGAGGTTTTCTTTACGTTACGAACTGAATTCTTAAATATTGTTTGGACGTGCTTCGGCTTCAAGGGGTTAAACTTGCATATTTAAGGAGACGATATCTCCCAGTTATGTGTTAATTTTAATTGCGTTTTACTGAAAGAACACAAAAAACATTGAAACGCAAAAAGACTGAAAGAGGCTACATATCTGCAAAAGAGCTAAGTATGAACACATAAGTATAAGCTTTCATAAAGTGGGATTGGCAGAACTATAACAGAAACGAAAGAGAAATGTAAGCCAAAATTATGAAGAAAAGTACAGAGAAATAAATCATATAAAATAATTAAATAACTTAATAATTGCTTGTTAGTCGATATCATCTGACGACGCCGCTTAAATGGAAGTAGTTATTGGACCAAATGGCACGATGTTTATAAAGAAGTGACATGATCTCTTTTAATGTATTACCTTAACATTTGATAATTCTCAGTAAAATCTCGATAGGTATAACTGACCGAGAGTCGAGCCTGGATCTTATCTTAATACAAATTTGGAACGCGAGGAGAACAGCAATAAAACAAGGTGTGGGTATGATTTATATTTATGCATGGAAGGCATTTTGAAGGTATATAAAGTAAAGGGACTGTTTTAAAATAGTTACGTCTCTTTCAGCACTACCTGGCATGACGTTATCTATAATTAAAATGCTACGAAAAGTCTTATTAAAATTCTGTTATTAGCTGCGGGTTAGAAGTTCTAGGTTTGATTCCCGGGGGTCGGGGCATGGTTTTTCTCTTCGCCACCATGTTTTCACACCGGCTCTGGGGTGGACTAAATTTCCTATCCATTTTATTCGGAGGGATCATTCCTCCGGGTGAAAAAGGATGAAGCGTGAAGCCTTCATTCAAATTCGTCCAGGGCTGAGTTTCGGAATACGAACAGCTGTACTTGGCAATCTTCAAATGGTGTTGCTCAGATTCAGACGGATTTAGTTTTACGTTTTCAACTTTATTCAGGATTCTAAAGCTGGGCTGTTATTCATTGGATTATAAATATTTAATGTATAAATAGCACTCGGAAGCTTGTACAGGTGATATTGAAGTGAACTCTTGTTTCTAAATGAATGTTGACGAATGTCTCAGCAGGCTCAGTTCCAACACTGTTAATTATGTATCCTAATACCAGCAATCCCAAGTGTTCTCTTTGTGAGTGGTACCAGATTTCGTGTAGTCTTTTGTTTTACCAGTAGGCATTTGTTTTCTCTCCCCCCCCCCCCCCCCC